GAAAACTGGATTTACTGTCGGGGATGGACACTTACGCCTTTACGGTGATCCTGAAAGCAATAAAATACTTCAAAGTATTCAGGAAGGGTATGTATACTTCATTCATTGCGGTGTTCATCTAAACGTTTGATAGGACGGCACCAACAGACCTCTTCAATGTCCGTATTGGCCAGCCAGTGGAACTCAGGGTACATAAGCGTCTGGACGAGGATTACGTGTCGCCTCCCCCTGAATCACTTTCTGAAGCTAGAGATCTTTCAGGTGACTCAGTCCTCAGTCAACGTCCTCTGTCTCGACGACACCTACCTGATGAGTAGAAAGAACCCTTCATACACTAATGGAGCCACAAGGATGTCTCATAAATAGAAATTTTAATGATTTTTGGTAGATGAATGCTTCTATTCATCCAATTCCATGAGTTCGCACCCTTTGTATGTCAACTAAACGTTATATGAAACAAACCTACGCAACAGATTATATAGGTGAGATCAAAAGTCTCGGCGTGCATATGCAAATAAAATTTCTGCGAGCTGCCTGACTCTTCCTTGTGCAAATTTTCTGTAGGATATCAAGTGGATTATCAATGTACACCTACGACCGTTTAGATTAGCTTGATGTTCATCTACTCCGGAGTTACGACTAGAGAACGGCCTCGATGCGGTGGCAAAATGATTCGAGTGTCAGTTGCGGTGGAAACACTCTCAGACATTGACCAGTGGTTGTTGGAAAGAGCAAACTTGCAAGTAAAACAGGCTGATAGACCCAAGTTCTTGGTCAATTCGAGCTAGATATAATGAGGAGTGGCAGTCGAGTCGGAGTTCCATTATCGAACAATCGAACAAACAAAGACCCAACTATCTCCCGGTCGCCGACATCTCTTACCCCGACTGTGTTCACTGTTCGGCATCGTCTACGATTAATCCTTTAAATCTTCTACAATTCGTCCCAAACTTCTATAATATGGCCCGTTGGACGAGATCCAACAAATCGAAAACACCCGCCTTGATTGGACCGGAAGCATGATTACCTCGATTTGGACGCGAGACCTGTGGAATGAAATGTGTTTGGACCATAGTCAACCATGGATTAAAGGAGACTGGCAATTGCCTCCAGCTGCCGCATGTCAGCACAAACTCGGACCCCACTCAGCGTTAAACGATCACATTCATTCGCGATGTGGAAAACATGATATTCTAGGCCGTTTAATATGACCAAAACCTCATAATGGCTACTTGGGGATAATCAAGGCCTCACTGCTAGGCGCAAAGATTGTCAAGGACACCCACAAGCAATTTCCTGGACCTTACAAACTATTGAGAACCCAGTTAGCGCATCAAAATCCTCTAAATTCACTGATATCAACAATATATACATCGAGTTACTCGGCCATGCTTTGAGGCTGTCGTGCAGGCCAGAATGGTTGGCGGCCGTGCAGGATAAGAGAGGCGAATAGAACACCCCAAACTTTCGGGGTCAGGACTGTTTGAATTCAATAAGACAACGAAACAGCATCACTTATTAGGCGCTCTTTACACCTTGCCCTCTCCTCGCCTTCTCCTCAGTTTCAAGTCCTCTATCCAGCTATGGGCAAGTTCCTCATCATCGACGACAGCGATCCCGATATTAAATATACGTCCACCACCGGCTGGAGTAGCGAGAGTCTCGTTGGACCGGATAGCAATGAATATGGTGAATCAGTACACATATCCACCACACCGGGAGATATGATGGAATACAGCTTTGAAGGTGAGTATT